TATATATAACCTTCGTCTGATAATAAAAAAATAGTTATTAGTGTAATTTGTTATTTTCTCATAATTTATATTCTTTTAATTGCTCTATAAAATTGATATTTGTCATTTGTTATTTTTTTTTAAATATTGATGTTGATAATAAATTAAACAATTATTTACTTGATCCTTCATTTTTAGGATAAATTTAAATTTGTATCGTACAAGTTTTGGTTATGATTACCAATAATTAATTGTATTTTTATATTGAAAATCTTAAAAAATCATGTTTAATTAAGAATTTATTGAAATTAATTGATTAATAATAATGAGTTTTTACTATAAAAAATTAATTATTTTTGTAACAGTAGTTCCCACGAGCTATAAACTAGTATTATAATATTTATAGGAAATTAAAAATCATAAATTTCACTATATTTTTTTATAGTTTTTCAATAAATATATATTATCTAATAAATGACAATTAAATATAAGTAACAACATACAATAAAATATGACAATCATATTCAGCTAGTGGAAATGGTCAATGTTATGATATTAGATCAGCCAGCCATTTTTCATTTTTTTTTTCTTATAAGCAATCGTGGGTATTATGATATTAAATCTTTTTTCTTTTATACACCCAATCGGTGCAAAAACGACATTCAACTTATTGGGTCAAATAATATAAAACCGTTTTTGAAATTGAACTAGGTGTAGGTGTAACTTGTAAGACCATATAATTATTATATGAGTTAATTAAAAAAATAAAAAAATAAATATGTCTAAATATTTAAAAACTTTGGATTTATAACAAATAAGAAAAATAATGAATTATTAAAATTGATTTTTTTTATCTTTTAAATTTAAATAAATAAACAAAATAAAATAATGTGCTTTAATTTGATAATTTTAAAATAAAAAGGTAAGTACATTAATGAAATTGATATTAATTTATTAATAAATTTATTTTAATTATTACATTAAAGTGTTATGTGAAATTTATTAAAATAGAAAAACCCATAAAATGACATGTGGAAAAGAAATTAATTCAGAATAACCATAAAATGACATTTGACAAATTGAATGAGAATATAACATGTGACAAAAAAACTTTTATTTATTAGAGTAGATTATTACATTTTAACGTAGTCTTTTTTTTTTATTTTTTTTTGTTTATTATAGTTAATCACTTTATTAAATAATATTTTATTTTACTATTTACTTTAATATATTTTTTAAATTTTATTATATATTTTTAAATTATTTTATATTAATCATTTTTTAATATTTTTCTTTTTAGAATAGCCGAATTTTATAAAAATCACCCGCTAGCAAGAAGCTAGACAAAAACAAAAGTCAAAGAAACATTAAACAATAGACCACATAGCATCTGGACAGTTAATAGCGTCGAGATCTCAACGAGATCTCGGTGGGATAGCGTTTCGTAGGTCTTTGCCAATTAACGCTCATAATAGCGGAGCCGGTAATATCGCCGAGATTAGACGAGATTGGCCGTTATTTGCCGCTATTTCGATTTCGAGATCTCGGTTTTTTACCGCTATTTCACAAAATCGATTTTAGCTATGCAGATTGTTTTTTCTTTTTGATTCTATCACTTTTTTCCTTCTTTTATCGATTAATTTTATATATGGAAACGATTAACTTATTTATAAGGAAATTTTAATTGATTGATTTTACTTAATTCAATGAATTGATTGGGTTAAGATTTTGGAATAAAGGAGCTGTGTATTTCTCTTCTATTATATATATATATATATATATATATATATATATATATATATATATATTATAAAAGTCAAAAAATTATTGAGTTAGACATAGCATGTGGATGAATATTTTTCACCTTTCAAATAGTTTCCTTTAACTATTTAGTTATTATTTTGATAATGTAGAATATGATGATATGTAGTATAAATACTAATCAAATGTGAAAGAAATAAACACACCATGTTGAATACAATCTTCTAAGTGTTCAAGAATCCTCTCAAATCTCCTTTTATTTTATAATGTTTTAGTTTAATTTTCTTAGTTTTAGTTTTAATTACATCAAATTTATAACACGTTATTAGCACGAAAGCTCTAATCACGGTTATTAAACAAGTGGAAATCACATCTATCTTAATCAAGGTATGTATTACTTAGTAAAAACATTATTAATTATAAAAACCTCTATCATATTAAAAAAAATACTAATTGTTATAAATTTGATGTAATTAAAACTAAAACAAACAAAATTAAACTAAACCATTATAAAATAAAAGAAGGAGATTTGAGAGGATTCTTGAACACTTAGAAGATTGTATTCAAGATGATGTGTTTATTTCTTTTACATTTGATGGGTATTTATACTACATATCATTCTATTCTTACATCATCAAAATAGTAAATAAACAGTTAAAGGACACTATTTGAAGGGTGAAAAATGTCCATCCAGATGCTATGTCTAACTCAATAATTTATGACTTTTATAACACCCCCCTTGGATGACATTTTTTCAAATCTGAGTTCAACCTCGAAGTACTGCCTGATTAAAAACCTTGCTAAAAAAACCCGGCGAGAAAAAAACTTTAACGAAGGGGAAAAGAGTGCAGTATATAGTTGACTCCCCTTCATTTAGACATCTGTTACGTTACATGTTATGCACATGTCGCATTCCGATGGCATGTACATGTTTTCTAAATATTACAGTAGGAAGTTCTTTCGTGAAGAGGTTTGCTACATTGTTGCTAGATTGAATATATTCTATCTCAACCTTTTGATCTTTTATAAGCTCTTGAATGTACTCAAAAAACTTTGGAGGTATGTGTTTTGTCCTGTCACTCTTGATATATCCTTCTTTCATTTGAGTGACACATGTTAAGTTATCTTCGTAAATTAAAGTTTGACCTTTATCTTTATCTAGTCCACATGAAGACAAAATGAGTTGTCTCGTCGATCTTAACCATGCGCATTCTCTACTAGCTTCATTTAATACAATTACTTCAGCATGATTTGAGGATGTGGCGACAAGTTTTTGCTTTTGAGAGCGCCAGGAAATTGTGGTGCCTCCGTTCATGAATACGTATCTAGTTTGAGATCTAGCTTTATGAGGATCAGATAAATAGTCTGCATCTGCATGACCAATCAAACCTTGTTTTCAATCATTAGGATAAAATAACCCTAAATCAGTAGTTCCTCGAAGATATCGCAAAATATGCTTAATCCCATTCCAATGTCTTTTTGTTGGGGATGAACTGAACTTTGCTAGCAAGTTTACAACGAAAGAAATGTCAGGTCTAGTACAATTGGTAAGATACATAAGAGCCCCAATTTCATTTGGATATGGTACTTCTGGACCTAGAACTTCTTTATTTTCTTATCGGGGACGAAATGGATCTTTGTCAATATTTAATGATCTAACAACCATTGGGGTGCTTAAAAGATTGGCATTGGCCATATTGAAACATTTCAAGACTCTTTCTGTATAATTTGATATTCCGTTAGACATATGCTCAATCTGCAAACCAAGAAAATATTTGGTTTTACCAAGATCTTTCATTTTAAATTCTTTCCTTAAAAGTTCAATCACTTGTAAGATTTCTTTATTCGTTCCAATGATGTTTAGATCATCAACGTAGACCGCTATAATCACATACCCAGATGTTGTTTTCTTAATAAATACACATGGACAAATAGTGTTATTTTTATAACCTTTATTTGTCAAATAATGGCTTAAATGATTTTACCACATGCATCCAGATTGCTTTAACCCATACAAAGATCTTTGCAATTTTATAGAATATATTTCTTTGGGTGTTGTACGTAATGCTTCAGCCATTTTAAATCCTTCACGTATTTTCATATAGATATCACTATCAAGTGATCCATACAAGTAAGATGTAACAACATCCATAAGGCGCATCTCTAAATTTTCAGAGACTGACAAGCTAATTAAATACCTAAAAGTGCTTGCATCTATTACCGATGAATAAGTTTTCTCATAATCAATTCCAGGTCTTTGAGAGAAACCTTGAGCCACAAGCCTAACCTTGTATCTTACAATTTCGTCTTTCACATTTCTTTTTTGTACGAAGATCCATCTATACCCTAAGAAGATAATAGCCCTAAAAACCTTTCTCTTGTTAAGAGAATTTAATTCAACTTGCATATCCTCCTTCAATTTAGCCCAATCATTTCTTCTTTGAGATTTATGAATGATAAAGGTTCGAGATCATCATTCATAATATCAGATGCAAATGAATAAGAAAATATTGCACATATATTATCAGTTTTATATTGGTCACATTCTATTTGTTTGACCATAATTTAGTACAATATCTTCCTTTCCTAGGGGAATTTTGATATTTCGTGTTTTTTCCAGGAACACTTTCCTCATGATCTACTGCATTTTCTACTCTTCTTTTTCGTGGGTTCTTATCCTTAGAACCAAATGGTCTTCCATGCTTCAAGCGTGTTTTAGACTCTTAAGTGACTTTATCATCAGATTGTCCATATGGAATTTAAATTCGAGCTGGAACATTGACAGCTGGTATATATGATTTAGTCACCCTTTTCATGCCAGTAAATGCATCAGGCAATTGATTTGCGATTTCTTGGAAATTCGTTATCTTTTGAACTTCTATTTCACATTGCTCTGTACGAGGGTCAAGATATGATAAAGAAGGCTCATACCATGAAACATCATTTTCTATAATCTTCTTTTCTCCCCCTAATGATGGGAAATATGCCTCATCAAATTGGCAATCAACTAGGTGCAGTAAAAACATCACCTATTAAAGGTTCAAGATATCTTATAATAGAT